CTTGATGAATTCCACGGGTTCTTTGTAACCCCGTGGTTTAAATCACTGAGAGATGACACTGCTGTTTCCACAGCTGTTTGTATAGCTTTCCAAGCAACATCTGGGTCAACCTCGTTTTCAGAACTACCTAATTGTGACCTCAGTTGTTCCTGGAACCTACTTCTGGTTTCCTCGCTACTCAATTCAGTTCTAATGGGTCTTTTTAATGTGTTTTTTGCGTCCAGTGAGGCGCAAGCAGATGCGTGCCCGTATTAGGGCGTGATCGGAGTCGAAGCAGGTACTCCAGAATGAGCGATAATCTTGTACCGACCCTCTCCAACGATGACTGGTGGCAATATGGTCTATTTGAGTTCATCGTTGGTTTGGTGTAGGGGGTCGCCATGTTAGACGATGTCTCTCCTTATGCTTAAAATTTGTGTTTGCTAAAAATAAACGATTGTCTGAGCATAGTTGCAGCAGAAGATCACCATTATCTGTTCGCTGTGTCGGAATACTAAAATATCCACCTAAATGCCTTTCTGTTTGGTTTAAACTACCTATCTGAGCATTAAAGTCACCCTCTACTAGTACTATGTCTGAGCGTTTAGCTTTCTGAAGAAGTTCGGACAGCTTTCCGTAAAATTCATCTTTCGATTCATCTGAGCTGCAGTCAGTGGGAGCGTAGGCAGAAACGACAAAAAGGCAACGACGTGTGTCCCTATCCTTCCAAGTTCTTACGTAGCCGTTTAGCCGAACAGCACATAAACGACTGTTGACGGGGATCCACTCTAGCAGTGTTTGTTCGGCCCTCGTGCTTAGTGCTATGCCTACACCTGCCAGTCCACGAGAACTGGCCATCGGGTCACCAGATACACGGAGGGTGTATCTCGTTGGCTCTCCGTTTTGCCGAGGTGAGGTCAAGTGAATATCCTCACCTCGACCTCGACCTAAAGGCGTAATTCACAAGGCAGTGGAGCAACGTCAGCAGATGCAGTCACATAGTAGCCGGTGACCAATGATTGGTTCGTATGCCAATTGTTCCCTCAGGATTCTGGAGCTCATGTGCACCATTGGAATCGGGGTCTTCCAACTACCCTAGGTGGACCGTCCTTATCCACCAAACCCGGTTAAAGCGCCGGACATTCGGTTTTCATCCTCTCAATTTGGTAAACAACACCCCCACCACGGGAAGGCAGTGAGTAGAACTTCCCTGACTGGTGGTATGCACGTGGTCATCTGAGAGCATTTCGAGATGGACAGCTGACGTTCTACACTCTTGGCCTTTTTTGGGCATTGGATGACTATATTAACCATACAATTAGCATGGTCTTACAAGTGTTACTCACTACCTCATGTACAATCATTAGTATTTGTCTTAGTATTATTCTCAGGATGACTAAAAGAGGATCTATCTTGAGTGGCTTCCTTTGCCATTATGATTGACACAAGTAAACTAACTTCACTCATATTTGTACTCTTATTTAAAAGTACTAAATTCAGTCATATTCCATGGTTCTTTGAAGTAGTTTGACTTCCAGTTGTAGTGCGCGCATTCAAATTGTTTATCGATCAACCATTTGTAATACTCAGCTAATGAATCACAGGATGCATGTCAACTTCAATATGACCTGGAAATTAGTAATATTGTTGTGTGTGTGTGTGTGCTACTTATATCGACATAAGTAGAATGTGACGTCAGTCAGGAACAAAATGTCTGGCAGCAGAGAGACAATAGGATCAATCTGTAAAGAATAGAAACAGAATGCAATTTGTATGAAAATGCAAAAACAAGGAAGTCTGAGTCATTTTAAGACAATTGATGGGCATTTTACAAATTAAGTATTACTATATGATTATTAGCAGGACGCGACAATATACCAGCTGAAGCACTGAAGTCAGACATCGAAGTAACTACAAATATGCTTCACCTTCTATTTAAAAAGATTTGGGAGAAGGAACAAGTGCCGATGAACTGGAAAGAAGGACATCTCATCAAGATTCCAAAGAAAGTAGACCTGACCAAATGTGAAAACTACAGAGTCATCGCAATACTGTCAGTATCAGGGAAATTCTTTAACAGTGTTGCTGAACTGGATGAAAGACGCAGTAGACGCCCAACTTCGAGATCAACAAGCTTGATTCCGTAAGGATCCGTCGTGCACAGACCGAATTGCGACACTACGGATCATCGCCGAACGATCGGTTAAGTGGAACTCGTCACTATACATCAACTTCATCGATGATGAAAAGACCTTTGACAGTGTAGATAGGAGAACATTAAGGAAACTTCCCCGACATTATGGAATTCCTGAAAAGATTGTCAGCATTATTCGGAACTCATACGACGGACTACAGTGGAAAGTCGTGCATGGAGGACAGCTGACAGATGCATTCCAAGTGAGGACCGGAGTAAGACAAGGTTGTCTACTCTCTCGCTTCCTCTTTCTTCTGGTGGTCGACTGGATTATGAAGACCTCGACATCTGAGCAAAAACACGGCTTACAATGGACAGCTCAAAACCAATTAGACGATTCAGACTTCACTGATGACCTAGCCCTCCTATCCCATACACACGAACAAATGCAGATGAAGACAACCAGTGTAGCAGCAGTCTCTGCCTCTGTTGGCCTCAACATACACAAGGGGAAGACCGAGGTCCTCAAATACAACACGGAGAACACCAATCCAATCATACCTGATGGCGAAACTCTGGAAGATGTAGAATCGTTCACGTACCTGGGAAGCATCATCGATGAACAAGGAGAATCAGATGCAGACGTAAAGGTGAGGACTGGCAAAGCAATGGCCTCATTCCTACAACTGAAGAACATTTGGAACTCAAAACAACTTTCAACCAATATCAAAATGAGAATCTTGAATACGAACGTCAAGGCAGTTCCACTGTACGGAGCTGAAAGTTGGAGAACTGCTGCAACCATCATCAAGAATTTACAGGTATTTATAAATAGTTGTCTACGCAAGATACTCAACATCCATTGGCCGGATATCATCAGCAACAGCCTTCTGTGGGAGAGAACAAGCCAGCTTCCAGCTGAAGAATAAATTAGGAAAAGACGATGGAAATGGATAGGACATACATTACGCAAATCGTCAAACTGCATCACGAGACAAGCCTTAACTTGGAATCGTAAAGGGAAGCGGAAAAGAGGGAGACCAAAGAACACATGACTTTGGAAAATAGAATCAGATATGAACAGGATGAATAACAACTGGAAGGAGCTGGAAAGGATTGTTTAGGACAGGGTTTGATGGAAAATGCTGGTGAGCGGCCTATGTTCCTTCACGAGGAGTAACAGGCGTAAGTAAAGTAAGTAAGTAAAGGAGAATTAATTTACTTCAACTAACGAAAAACACCATATGCCAATGAGGTGGGGAAAAAAACAGGCTTCAGCAAGTAGTATGAGTACAGACCAGTTAACATAATTCGCATGTTATAAGTATAGACACAGTAGAAATTACTTCATTACTCTATCTTTGAAAAAACAGAACTTTTATCTAGTTTCTTTGGAATCGGAAAACTGCTTTCAACTCCTTCAGTAGTAGGTGAACTTGAGCCGGCCAGATATAATGGTTGGATCGAAGAAACACTACACCTAATGACTCCATCATCTCCACCACTAACCCTTCTCACGTTACTTTATCATCTCGCACCGCTAGTGAAAACGATTCGAGTACGCGGAACGCTATTCCTGGTCTCCTGAAACCACGCTCTAAACTACACGTAGGAGCTTTTAAAGTCCGAACATTGTGCCAAATAGGACAACAGGCTTCCTTAGCTAGGATTTTAAAATCTCGCGCCATCGATGTGTACTGCGTCTCCGTAACGCTTATACAGAATCAGAGTAGCGTCGTTCATTTGACCTCATCATATCAAAATAAAGAACCATCTCGATTCACACTTCTTGTATCTCGAAGCCCCGATGCTGCTTCCCGTGGCCTCGCTGGAGTAGGTATAGCATTGAGTCCTAGGGTAGAACTAGCTCTCTTGGACTGGATCTCAGTAGACAGTCGTTTATGCACTGTCCGACTAAACGGAACAGTTAGGACTCGGAAAAGTAGGGACACTCGTTGTCTCTGCCTACTCTCCCACTGACTGCAACTCAGATGATGTAAAAGATGAGCTTTATAGAAAGCTTTCCGACCTCCAAAACGTTAGGCGCTCCGATGCAGTAATAGTGGCTGGTGACGTTAATGCTCAAGTAGGTAAACTAAGCGAAAAGGAAAGACACCTGGGTGAACCTTATAGTGTCGTGACTCAAAGAACAGATAATGGCGACCGTCTGTTGCAGCTATGCTCAGACAACCGCCTCTTTCTTGCAAATACCAGCTATTAGCATAAGGAAAAACACCTTTTTGCATGGTAACCCCTGATCACATCGCTATCAGACACCGATGGAGGAGCTCGATAGAACACTGTCGGTCGTTCTGGAACACATGATTGGATTCAGATCATGTTCTAGTGCGAGCGCGTATTTGTCTGCGTCTTACTGAACGTAGGAAAGACACTGCAAGGAAACCTCTTAGGGTCCTACTTAATGATAGCCAAGCTAGGAATATATTTTAGGAACAACTAGAAAAAGTTAGGCAACCATGTAAGTGATGCCCATCCCGAGGCAGCGTAGGATGATATCCGGAAAGCTGTGGAAACAACAGTGATATCTGCTAGTAAGGTAAACCATAAGGTTAAGGAGAAACACGGGATCTCAGCAGCATCCACCGCACTGATAGACGCTCATATTCCATCACGACTGTATTTTTAATCTTTCAACTATAGGTTACTGACTGATCAGGGAATTTTTATACTTCTAATAAATTTAAATGATTAAGTTCATTGAAGCATTATCACCAAATATTATACAATTAGTTTTACGAAAATATGTTGTCCATTTTTTATAGTTATTGTATTTTGCTTAAGCTACATTTTTCCAGAAAAATCAATGTTCTAAAGTTATTATTATTATCGTAGCATGTTGAAATTTTTACTCTTCTTTTACTTATAGGAGCTCAGTGTTCAAGATGTAATCGATTCTGATTATCCAGATATTTCTCGGCTGGGTGTATTACAAGGTGCAGGAGATGATAAACTCGGTCGTAAAATAATTGTTTTCTCAGCTTGTCGTCTACCAGCAGCTGATTTAATTGATCATCAACATCTCCTAATGTAAGTCATGATTATTTGATGAACCTGGAATTAAATGAATCAGTCTTTAAAAGCTCAACGCTATTCACTGTCCATGGCTCAATAGTAAAGGCGTTCAACTTTTAGCCATTATGTTGCGGTTTCGAATCCCTCACCACCTGCTTCTTTTTGAGAAAACGGGTAGCATCACTAACCCTTACACTTCGAGTGTGACTCATACCCAAGTATCTGACGAATGAGTCAATTGATTAACCAGTTGTTTAACTTGTTAAGATATAGTATTGAAGGGAAAGATGAATTTTGGTTAACCGCTCAACTTTTTTAGTAAATGATGACTATTTTCTATTTTGTGCAGTTTACATCTCTAAAATAGCATCATTCTTCTCACACAAATCCGTAATTTATAGTTTTTCCTGGGGAAGACTAAATCGAACAGTGTTATGTATGTATTAGGATCTGTTTGAGAAAATAATTCTATACATTTGCTACAATTATTATCTGCCAACTACTTTTTCCTTAATTGACGCTAAATCTATCGATGCACTACTGCTGATTGGCTTACTCGTTTTAATCAAGTAAGTTTTCGTCGTTGTTCTCTTGATGTTATATTCGGGTCTGCTTATAATGATCAAGCTATGTTAACTGGAATCATCGGTCCTACCATTATATGGGAGTCGATTAAAAGGAGGTAAAACTAAGTGTTGCAACTTACTGTCCGATGACGAAATCGTACTACTGACTTTACTGTAAGATGTGAACGGGAGTATGGTTTTCGAGAAACTTGATATTTAAGAAGACAGTATCAAAGTATAAAAACTCTGTATGTAACAACAAAACATGAAATTAGGACACAGTAAAATTACCAACTATCAGTAAGAACAACTGATCAAATAGTAACAACCATCATTATGGAAATATGAATTGGGGGAATGTGACCATGGTTTTCCTCATACGTAAGGGTTATCATTTATTAACAGAAAGCTCGATAACCTGAGGTATTCCTAGCCAAAAACTCTCGAGATCACCTTATCCACAATCAATACCCCTCTTCATTTCCTTATATTTCTCTTCCTACACTTAATCCGTCCCCTATTGATTCATCTTATTTTCGATACCTTACTAATTCTAGTAATTAGAGTTCAGATGTTATTCCTGGTTCTCCAAAGCCGCACTGCTAACAGTTCGAATCTTTTGTCGAGCCGGGGAATGCAATCTATTGTCCAGGACTTTAAAATTTCGTCTCATTTTTTGTGTCTATGAAACTCATACAGGACCCAGATACATTTCTATCGCCAGAAGTCTCGTTTCTTAACCACAAAGTCACTGCCTCTTTTATTCCCTGTGACCGATCTTTAGAAATTCCTTCGTTTTTAGAGATTTTTTTACTTTTCTAAAACTAACGTGGAACCCAGTTAATTTGTTTATTTTCGTAACTAGAATATTGTAAATACCTTTGTTGTCCATCAGATACTAAGTTAAATATTTGTTCAAAGTAAATAGTTCAACACAATAGACCTCTACCTTGTTTGAGGAAGACATTCTAAAACAAAACATGCAGTTTTCATATGATGACAAATATTTGTATGCCATTTTCAACCAAATTTTTGTTAGGCTTTCAAATCATTGCTTTTGTTAATGTAGTTACGTGTGTGTGAGAGAAGTATGTGCATTAACAGACTGTTTTATTTGTATGAATCAATACGGACTTTAATGATTCTATATAATGGATTTGATCGGTTAGGTTTTTGATTAACGGAAAAACACTATCGTTACATATGATAAACTTATCAGGAATCCAATTACAATGAGCATAAAACTGTGATTTAGGCAGCGGATTCTTTCAGTTTTTGACCAATAATTGTTCAGAAAAGTTTATGACTTTCAAAAAGATCAATAACTTGATTAGTTCCCATAAATTATTTTAGAGCTTGTAAAACATTTTTATAAAATAACGTTGTGTGGCTCAACTCGAGTATCAACTATCGAATGCTGAGTTTGGACTACATTACAGTTATTTGTGGTTTTTAATAGCCGGTAGTATCTATAACACACACTGATTATGATCGAAGGCTGAGTACACAAATTTATGTGTTCAGTTAAAATGCGCTACATTGGTTAAAAATTAGTCAAATTCTTTTATCAAATAAAGCGCTGGTCTTGTGACTTCCGGAGAAATAATAACACTAATTTTCTATTAGTAATTGGGTAAAACTGTGTCTCGAAAATCGAGTACACATATACAATTATCACGATTATCATTCACCCAGGGTTTTGTTCATAGATAAATTGAGGAGGGTAGTTTGAAAGAACTATTATAGCAATCGCTGTCAATGAAGAGGCGTTGGACGTCCCGAATGCTCTGACTTAGATGGTCCAGCAGGTCGACAACTACGGAATTCAGCACGCCAGCGGGTTCGATATTTCGACGAGAAGTGAGTCACAGACTGATTAAGAAGAAAGCGTCACGGCGAGCGTACAACTGTAAGAGCGACTTATCAAAGGGGAGACGAGCGTGGTGTGCTCTACTTATGTGGACAGATATAAGTATGTAGCAGGAATGCTTACCAGCAAAAGATTAAAATAAAGCGAACAGGAAGGAAAACGGAGAGCAGTCAGAATAGTGACAGAATTAGAAGAATGATGGAATGTGTAAAGACAACTCAAGGAAGATGTACAGATGATGTATTTGTTGTATGATTTTCATATTTTACAAAGGGAATGTGTAACTTTGCATAAAATAATAGATTTTTCTTCCCCAGCAAACCTTCATTCACTACACAACTTACATAATTGTCAAGCTTTACACTGGATATGACTGACCTGACTACAGTGCATATTGAACTTCGGAATAACCGGTAATTTGCCTTTGTTAGTTTACTAGACCTGATCAGTTAACCCCTGTTGATCAATATAAACTGCTTAGGAGTGTAGTGAACGAGAACTCAGGTGGAGAAAACCGATTTATTGTTTAATGCTCAATTGCACAGAGGTTTAGTAAAATGTGGAAATCGTACATCATTTGCACATCTTTGAATTGTCTCTTACAAGCTTCGTTGTTCCTTCATTCCTGTTGTTATCTTGATTGCTTTCAGTTTCCTTCTCTCTTCTCTTCATTTCAATTTTCTTAACCTTCTGCTGGCAGACAGTCCACTTCCGATTGGTGTTACGTACCACTTACATCTGTTAACATAAGTAGCCTACACTACATGAGTATCTCAGTACTTGTGGGATAATCTATCCATAATATTAACACTCAGTCTGTGTACAACTTTGTTTCTAATGTGTGGTAATTCTCTTAATATTGGATTATTATTCTTGTTACCTTTTAAAACTTTGAATGTAAAGCAATTTACTTATTCGTGTATACCTGAACTTATTATAATAATCCATGTTAATTTTCCATATATATATATATATATATATATATATATATATATATATATATATAATTACTATTTTAGGTATATTACTAAAACATTGGAACAATATGTCAGTATTGATTACGTCCTAATTTACTTCCACTTCGGACTTACTAACAAAAATCGACCTAAATTTAAATGGCTTGTTCAAGCTTATAGAACATTTGGGCGCAAGTAAATTGCTCATTATTTTATTATTGAATGACCATTTCATCGTTATTTTTTCACTTTTGATGGACTATAAACGATGCCTATTTTCATTTGAAATCGGATAAATATGGTGAATAATTCGGTTTATCTATAGTTAGGAGATTTTTGTAGATTAGTTTACGTTGCAGTTGGTTTTTATCTCCGATTGATAGCGACAATAGAATTTTTACAAATCAGGGTGCACTGAATAACTATTGGATCTTGAAATGTTACTCCTCTCTAGTGTGCAATTGTTCTCTCCATAGCCCGAATCAGTGACTTTGAGTGTTTACGACGAGTTCGTTACCTTTAGACCATTTAGTAGTAGTAATCTGATGAGCTCATAGAAGAGGGAAAAAATTAGGCTTGGTCCATAGTTAACCAATATCTTTAAAGATATAGTAGTAAATTGAGGGTTCAAATCATGTCATCGACTACCACCTCAGATCACTTAATCTTCATTTACTAATTATCTCACTATTATAAATACGTGACATGTTTCGTTTTACTAACAGAAGGCTTTATTAGTTGTACATTGTGTTTTATCCGGGTATTTCTGAATCCCTTCTAACTTCTCCCTCTGAGTAGTTATTATTGGTCTGGTAGATTACTGAGATATATCTTAATAATGGCAGGAAATGTTATTCCATGGATATAGAACAGTTAGAATTTAGCTAGCAGTGGAATCCACAACGCGCGTTTCGTCCTATTAGGAACTCGTTAAATGGATGTTGGTAAATATTTGTCTTTTCTTAATGTCTTCATTTATATTGTTCGAAATTCTTGACGTTGGATTTAATGCTAATTCCATAGCTTGGAAGTTATACCGCTAAGACTTCTGTTTCATATATTTTTAATTCCTTGTTATCACTTCCTTTCAAAAATAATAAACTGTAATCCAACGTAATACTGCAATTTATGCCTACTAGTCACATATAATCAGATTAGCACGTCAATTATCCAACTATCCATTGAATGGTGATATATTATTTCCGTTAATTCACTGATATTTACTTTATCAGTAGTAGAAAGTACCCTTTATGAAATTGTTGAATTATATAAAATGATTACATTAGGGATTAATTACATCAAGACTATATTACTAAAAAAATTAGTTCTAGACAAGTTCAAAAATACAACACGTAATATTTGAAATAAAATACTTTAATTAATTAAGTTAATGGTAATCTTTTTTCTCATATTTCATAATGTTAGTTTCAGGTTGACGTTATCAGATCCATATAATTTATTTAAAATGATTTTATTATTGCTTTTTCTTTCTCTTTCTCCAGTTTTCGTAAAAATTTGAAAACACTTTACATTGTACATCCTACTACTGGTATAAAAATTTTATGGACTCTCTTCAGACCATTCATCAGGTAGGATTATATTCTGTCTATTTGTTTGTTGGTTAATATATCTATGCATATTCATAGTTGTAAAGATTATTTTTTAACAATTGTCAATGTATTATGTGATTGATTTTTAGATTGTATTAAAACACAGGAACATACGATTGTTTACTGTTTATTTTATTAGAAAGTATGAGGGGTAAATAAATGACAGTGAAATAATAACTGTCAGTACTTACTTAGGTACACCTGTTATTTCTCGTGGAGCATAGGCCACCGACCAGGGATATCCGATCAGCTCTGTTACGGTCTCTCCATTCAAGGTGTTACCAAAGTGCTATTCTTCGTTTTGATATCTACCTTCGATTCCTGGCGCAGTGCGTTTTTTGGTCTGCCTTTCTTCCTTCAGGTATCCAAACTAGAGCCTGTTTCGTGATGCAGTTTGATTATTTCCTCAGTGCGTTCCCTATCTTTTCCTAATTTCTCCTTCACCTGGAAACTGGTTTTTTCTCTGTCACAGTAGGTCGTTGCTGGCCAACGAATCTGAAGTATCTTGTATAGACAAGTGTTTATAAATCCCTTTATCTTTTTGATGATAGTTGTAGTGAGTCAGTCAGCAACGTGAAACGTCGCGCATACGTGCGCACGTACATCAGTTCAAGTTGTCATACCACATTAGCACAGAGATACAGTTGTCGATCCGAATCCCATAGTGGTAGAGGTAGAAAAAGTATAAGCAGTTATCGGAAAGATTAGGGTGTGAGGATGTTATTTAAAGAGTATAATTCAGTGAAATAAATTTGGAAAGAGAAAAAAGGGACATGAAGAATTCAGAAGATCACAATTTGGGAGAACACAAAGAGTGGACGCATCTGACTCACCGCAAGCGATTTCGATCCATGTCATTCAAGGTCTCTAAACATCTGTTGCTATCGTCTCGTGGACCCCAACCAGATAGTTCTACACCTACCAGCATGGCTCAGTCCACTTGTCAGTGACTTCATGGACTTGTGCCATGTTCTGGTCTGGCCGCCTCTAGCTTTCTTCTAACCTACTCCTACACCACAAGATATCGCTCGTTGGGGCAGTCGGTAAATGGGCGTACGTAACATGTTCCAGCCACCTCAACTGATGAAGTTTCATCACTTCATCAATTGATTTGCCATCCTTACCTAGTACCCGTTTCCTAACCTACGAATATCCTCTACTCTTACCGGCCATGTTTCACTTCCATAATGCAGGACGGAACGAACTGCTGCGCAGTAAACCCGTCCTTGGATTAGTAGACGGGTATCTCACCTACTCCATAAATAACGCAAGTTGGCAAAGGCTAGTCGAGCCTTCTGTATCTATGCTGAGATTTCGTCACACACCAGAGCACAAGGGCTGATGAGACTCCCGTGATAAATGAAGCGATCGGCACGCTCAACTACTTCACTCCCTATCATTAGTTCGGGTGTCGATGCAAATTAATCCTGAAGCAACACTTTGCATTTCGAGGGAGAGAATTGCATCCCGTACATGTTTGTATTGTTGCTTACAGTGGCCAGAAGACTGCATTTTGTCAGCGTCTTCGCCAAATAAAACTATGTCATCAGCATATTCTAAGTCAACAAGTGAACTTCCCGGTAGAAGTTCAACCCCTGGAAATTTAGATGAGGAGAGTGTTATCTCTAAAAGTACGTCCACCACAAAGTTGAACAAGAATGGGGAGAGTGGACAGCCCCGACAAACACCACTTGATGTAATCAATTCTGATGACAGTTCGCTATAAGCTCTCACTCTACCAGTTGCGTTCGAGTAGAGAGCCTGAATAAGGTTAATGTACTTGTTTGGCACTCCTTTCAGTGACAAACACAGCCATAGAACCTTACGATCAACAGAGTCGAATGCCGCCTTAAGGTCGAGAAATACTACCATTTTGGGGCGTCTGAATGTGTTTTTATGTTCTATGACCTGACGTAGTGTGAATATCTGGTATGTACAGTCACATCCAGGTCGAAAACCAGCCTGGTTTTCTTTAGTCTGCTCTTCATGAGCCTTAGTTAGGTGTCAAAGTATTATCGAAGGTAATATTTTAGACACTATATTATATAAGCTGATTCCTCTGTGATTGCCACAGGAGTACTTGTTATGACCTTGAATCGCTTTACCCCGTGATACTTGTTATGACTTCACCTTGATCTGTCTAGATCTAACTATGACCTTGACGCGATAGGGTGAGCGGCTTAACCTTGAAGTCTATCACGCGTGAGTTCGAGTTGGGGTAGAGAGATAACTATTCTAGAACCTGATTGGTTGGCAAGCACGCAAGTGAGAGAAGACAAGACAGTTGGAACACTGAACTCTGGATTCTCTGAATTCGGATTAATACAAAAATGTACATGAATAAATAAGCGAATATCTTGACTACGACGTACAATAATTTGGAAAAATACAGTTATGCCCGAAACAGGGAATTAGAGTAGAAAATACAGTGCAAAATATTATCTTTAAATTACAATATTTTCGGAACCAAAAAGAGTATGCTAGTGAATGATACATAGAACGAAAGCTCGTGTTATGTAGAATAAGATAGGGACAAAAATAAATATAAGTGTTTTACAGGGTTTGAATGAAATGCAATAACGTCCCAAGAAAATAGCTTTCGTGATTGTCTGGGCTTCTTAATTCCCCGTTCATAACACCTTCCCCCTTAAAAAAAAAAGAAAAAAATATATGGTTAGTTGCTCTACACAGGTAAGTGCTGAGATATCATCATTGATATCTTCCTTCGGAAACGTATGTTCTCCTCTTTGGGTCTACCTGTAGAATATCTGGTCTTCTGCGTTTCCGTGATGCTTTTCTAATGGGACTTTGTTCATGTTGCGCAGTCTTCTGAGTTGCTGAGCATTTTATGTCGAAACTGTCCAGAATGATTCTCCACATTGAGTCTAATTTCTCGGTTTTCTGTGAAGTGCCAGCATTTTCCGGTATGTGGTTGACATGGCGTGTCCACTTCTGTCCTTCAACTTCCACCACATACATTACGTTCCCTTGTCTCTTAAGTATGCGTCCACTGGTCCATTGTGGAGGGGAATATCGGAAATCACGGACGTATACTTTTTGATTTTTTCGGAAAATTCTGCGTTTCGCCCCATGACGGCGATCAAATTGGCTTTCCATCTTTCTGTTTCTTTTTCCGATGTCTATTTGCTGTGGTTTTATGGCATCGAGAGCAATTCTTAATTTTCTACCGAACATAATTTCTGCTGGGGACATTTGATTTGGTGTTGATGGGTTTGGAGTTGTTCTATAGACCAAGAGAAAGTCATCAAGAATCTCCTCTATCTTTCCCTCCCCCTTTGCCTTCAGTAGCGCTCTTTTGAAGGTATCTACAAACCTTTCGGCCTGACCATTCGATTGTGGATGGTACGGAGGTGAACGGACATGTTTGACTCCAAACCTCTTGCAGAAATCTGAGAAGATGGAAGAAATAAACTGAGTGCCGTTATCTGTCACGAGAACATCTGGAACTCCAAAACGGGAGAATAACTGCCGTAGCTTCCTGATAGTCTGTTGCGAAGTGATTTGATTTATAGGAAAAATCTCCGGCCATTTTGAATAAGCATCAACACAAACGAGGAAGTACGTACCCTGGAATGGGCCAGCAAAATCAACATGTATACGTGACCAAGGTTCTTCTGGAGATGGCCAGGAATGTAGTTCAGCTTTTCGTGGACACTTAGAAACCTCAGCACATTTTCTGCACGCACGCACGCACGAAATCTTCGATGTGTTCATCGATATTAGGCCAATATACATAACTTCGAGCAATAGCTTTCATTCTTCCAGTACCTGGATGGGCTGTATGCAGTTGTTTCAGGACGAGTGAGCGTAAGTTATACGGAACCACTACGCGATCAGCAACCATAATACAGTCATTTACGATGGATAAAGATTGACGTCGTTGATAATACTGTTTCAGTTCATGAGATGTTATACGTGGGGGCCAACCACGCTGGATAAATGTAGATAATCGTCTTAAGATAGGATCGCGGCGAGTGTGTTCAGCGATTCGAGCAGCTGTCACTGGAAGAATTTGTGTTGAATTAAACAACATTCTGCTTACATCTTCTTCCACTGATATAGAAGCGATAACAGTATCTTCGTTTTCAAGCTTATGATTGCTTATTAAGCGCGATAATGCATCAGCATGGCCAAAATCAGAGGTAGATTTGTATTTGATAACGAAATCATAACCCAATAGCATTGTAGCCCATCGTTGGAGGCGGTTTGCGGTATAAACTGGTATACCTTTCTTAGATCCGAAAATTGATAATAGGGGTTTATGATCAGTGATTAAGGTAAATTTTCTGCCATGCAGCATCTTGTGAAACTTTTTTACTGCGAAAATTAATGCCAATCCTTCTTTCTCAATTTGACTGTACTTGCGTTCTGCTGAAGTCAATGTTCTGGAAGCATGTGCGATAGCCTTCTCTTTGCCATCTGGAAACTTATGGGATATGACGGCACCGATACCATAGTCAGAAGCATCTGCAGCAACAACGATTTCCAGCGAGGGATCAAAATATGTAAGAAGTAGATCCGACGTTAATAATGACTTTACTTCATCAAAACATTTTTGACACTTAGTGGACCAATTCCATTTTACATTACTGGATAATAATTGGTTCATAGGTGCTCGGAGGCGATGCAGTTGTGGCAAGAAATTACTGTAATAACTGATAAGACCAAGGAAGGAACGCAGAGTTGCTACATTAAATGGAGGAGGCATATTTTGGATAGCTCGTACATTTTTCGGATCTGGGCGTCGTCCATTTTTGTCGAAAACAAAACCAAGATATTTCACCGAGTTCATGAAGAATGTACACTTTTCTTCTTTTAGATAGAATCCACACTCAGATATTTTGGTTAAAACAGTATCGAGTCGATTGAATAACTCGGACTTACTGGAACCTGTAACGATTACATCATCCAAATAGACAGCGACTCCTGGCAAATTAGCCAACATAGTGTCCATTATT